ACAGAGGCTGTGTATCTGGGAGATGCTTGAGTGGAGAGGCCAAGGTCCTGGCATGCATGCCTTGGAAGGATAAATGGGCCCACTTTTGCTGTGTATCATTTAATGGGTGTAAGCTGGCAACCTGACATTCCTTTCTTCTTTCAGCCATCCTGGTACATACACTGCTTCCTGTTTAGCTTATGCGAGGAAATAAATCGGGTCGGAGGCCACACGCTGCCAAAGGTGACACTGCAGGAGATGCTGAAAAGCTGCATGGTTCAAGTAGTCTCTGCTTATGAGAAACTTTCAGAAGGAAAGCAGACGAAGGTAGGTGTTTGAATGTGCTTTCTCTAGTAACAAAAGAGTGTTGGCAGTTCACATCAAAGGTCCAGAGTGTTAAGGGTCACCCAGCCCAGTATCAGGGCCTGTAAATACGTTCTTTTATATTCGGGGTGGCTTTCAGCTGTGTGGTTCACACCTGTTCTCCTGGGTCCTACCAGTCTCCCTGAAGAAGGATGCTCAGGACCAGTGAGCCGGATAACAGGTTTCACAGAGAAAGGCCCCACTGCAGCCCTGGCACTGCCACCTGCTCAGTGCACTTTGGGCAAATCATGAACCTAGCATTTCCTCAGGATCAGATGTGCCCAGTAAATAAAGTCTCCCGCTTGTTTTCTCCCAGTTAACACGTAGACCTCCCCACTCATCCCCGGCAGGGGTGCTTCGAGGAGGGCCGCTGCTCAGCATAGCTGTGGCGCAGGGCAATACTTGAGGGGGGTCTGGTCTCCCAGCCTCTGTTTCCCATTCCACTAAAAACATGTGGAAGACAGGAGCGGTCCTGAAGCGGCACAAAGTCAGCTAAGTGCTCTGCTGGGGTTCCTCACTAGACCCTTCCTTCATGCACAAAGCCCTGGTTTGCAGAAATGCCATCTGTAGCACTGAGGCCTGTTTGTTTTAAGGGCTGGGTCTCTTCCCTGCTGTTAGGTCATCAGCTTTATCACCCAGTTTCTAGTGTACACTGTGGTTATGAGATTAAACCTGCTTGGGAAACACCAAGCTGTACAGAACCCGCGGTTGGTCACTGTGCCATATAATGAGCCATCTGTCCCTGGGTCGGGGACTCACTTGCAGAAAGAAGGTGCATTTCCACTGACCCAGAATTGGGTGCTGCAGCTCCTCTATGACCTGCGCTACCTCAGCGTTGTCCTCACTACCAAGCAGGAGGTGAAGAGTGGTCACAGCAGGCCGGACTCCAGGTACTGTATCTCTTCTGGAATCTCCAACTTGGTCTTTTCCCGGTGCAGATAGGGACACTCCGTGCTCATGAGGAAAACTGCCTTTCACATATGGGGCTTTTCGTGGGCTGGTGACATGCATTGTGATCCTCTTTCAAAATGCTGGTGAGCATCAGGCCACAGTTCCAGGGCAGCCCTGCAGTCAGAAGGGGAACCCCCCACCCTCTACAGTGGTTGCTGGTGCTAGGTTTCGGTGCTCAGGTCTAGTTTACAGTATTTTGAATTTACAGTGGTTTGTTGGGACATGACCCCATCATAAGCCGAGGAGCATCTGTATCCCTCTTCTGGGTTGCCCCCAAAGGGAAGAGCCAACCTATTCCTGAACATTTAATAGGTTTGTCCTACACTGTGAGGGTTCATACCATATTTCCCTGAAAATAAGACCAGGTTGTATATTAATTTTTGCTCCAAAAGACCAGACAGGGCTTATTTTCAGATGATGTCTTATTTTTCCATGTACAAACATCTATATTCATATACAGCCATCTACATCTATTCATGTATAAAAATCTACATTTACTCTTAT